AACATGCCACATATGTAGATGATCACGGGGAATTTGCACTAACCAGCCACCAACAGACACGACTGCAGTGACTTCTGTGACAAATCCTGATGGTTTGATTTGGCTTTTGTTAAAAATTGTATTTGTATTTTGTATTTGGTTATGTTAAAATACTTTGCTTTCATCGAATCCTTCCACCCAGTTTATGAACCGTTTGTGAAACCAAATAATTTTTGGATAAATTGCACCGAAATGCAGTATTTCCAGGGTTAAAGCGTAGTTATTGTAAACACCTGGGGGATATTTTGAGTTGCTCATATGTCAATCTGACACATTGTATTTAATTTCATTAGACAGGTTTTTAGAGCAGCGTTTGCTTATTTACATTTTGTTTCATGTCTTGATGAAACTTGGCTTCTTGTTAATGACATTTAAATGAACAGTTCATCCTCTGAGGACAGATTTTAAAGCCAGCAGGTACAGGTTTTAGTCTTTTGTTCTTACTCTGTGATTGACGGGTGGAATAATTAGCCAGTGAAACGCCTCTGGGTTCATTCCACAGTCACAGAAGAATTCTGTACCACACACTCCCTAAAAACACAAACGCATGTAAAAACATACTGTAAGATTGTATCATAGTAATACCCATAAATGATCAGGTAAAGTGTGAGAATACTGTATGATTGTTGAAATCTTTCTTTTTTATATATATTTTGTAGGATTCTTCATCCTTGACAAGAGCAAGAAGCAGAACGGCATTACAACCTCCATTTAGAACAGAAATAAATTCCATAATGTAACATTTTCTCAAGTATGATTCAATGAGAAATATAGCAGATGTCTACACTTGTGGGTTTAATGGTAATATATAAATTATTAATAATTATTATATTAATTTATTGTGTAAAAATGTTTTCTTTTATCGATTACACTTATAAAATAGTATTACTTTTATAATGTATTAATGTCAAGTAATAATAGTATTGCTCCCACTCTGTTACAGTTTACATATTATAAATAATATTTGAGAAGTTTGTTACTAAAAAAAATTATTTATTAGGTAAAAGTAATATATTTTCTATAAATAGATAGATAGATAATACAATATGATATTAAATAATAAAATGTAAATATTTAGTATGTTTTAATTTATTTTATTTATTCATAATAAAAGTTGTCCTATTTTATACATAAGTATTAATATTAAATGTATAATATATTATTTAATGCCATGTATTAATATTATTACTCCCACACTATTGCATTTTATGTACATATATTATATTATGTATATACATAATTTTTTTAAATGTAATTTTTAGTTATAATTTAAAAGGATTTTTAAAACATATTTCCGATAGATGGATAGATAGATAGATAGATAGATAGATAGATAGATAGATAGATAGATAGATAGATAGATAGATAGATAGATAGATAGATAGATAGATAGATAGATAGATAGATAGATAGATAGATAGATAGATAGATAGATAGATAGATAGATAGATAGATAGATAGATAGATAGATAGATAGATAGATAGATAGATAGATAGATAGATTTTGTTTTATTAATTGAAAGGGATTTTTTTCTCTCTCTTTCTCTCTCTCTAGCTTATTACATGTATAATTTATTATTTAAGTATAAATTTTATTACACACTAAAATTATTCAGAAAAAGCACAGATGAATACAAAGTCAGCAGCATTTATTTAGAACATAAATGGTGTCAATATTTCATGTTTCACTGTTAATTCTGTTTCAGACTGTATTAATTTATCTGTTAATTTTACTTCTCAAACACTAAAAATTCTATTAAGAAGCATTTATTTTCATTTATTTATAGACAGCAGCATTTACATACAGCACAAATGGTGTCGGTTTTGATTTCATGTTCCACTTCTAATTCTGTACATTTGAACGACTGGTTGGCCCACTTACAACCCTCCGAAGTGATACATAAGATGTGTTTCCCATTCCCAGTGCAAGCCGACACCTTTTAAAGTTGACAGGCACCAACAAGAGTGTGTGTGAGAGGCTGTTTAGGAGGTCTTGCTCAGGGGAAATGTCAAATGGCAACGTATTTCCCACAATTCTCCATTTCATTCTCACGTTGTGTGTATCAACTTGTTACTCACTGATGTGCGTTTGAAATGTACCTCGTCGCAGTTCCTGATCTCATTTGCACTCTCTCTTGCAGTCACCTCCACTCCAGGAAAATCAGTCTTTGGTTTAAAGCGAGCAGTATTAGAGCAGCGTTAGCCGGAGGAAAATGTCAGGGTGCTTTCTGCCTGAACGACTATTGACAGAAAGGTCTGTGAAGCAGAAAGCAATTTAAGAAGAAAGGGGCCATTTTACTGTCAGTCTGTGTCGCTGCTTCACCGCGGCAATCAGCCATTATCGCTAAACACGAGTCAATGAACATGCCACGTAAACAAACAAATAACAGTATGAGACGGGTTTGTTAAGTCGCTTACTGCGATAAAACCATCAGAAGGGTGTTTAAATTGAGCAGACGGTCACAATCAAATCATTCAAACTTCACTATTGCTATTTCTAATATTTAACATTAGCAGACTCTTGTTAGCATAGCTAATCAGCCACATAAAACACCCAGAATCCCCTGGCAATATAGTAACAACCCCTCTGAACATGTTAGCATTGTGGCGGTAAGTTACAATTAAAGATTTGTACACAAAATATTAAAATGCACTCATATCTTAATCAACCTTATTTGATACTAATACAAATATGATTAATATGTCAACCACACAGGAGTTGTGTTTAATCATTAACCAGCATAAACCAGCAAAGGACCAGCTTAAACCAGCAAAGGACCAGCATAAACCAGCAAAGGACCAGCTTAAACCAGCAAAGGACCAGCATAAACCAGCAAAGGACCAGCTTAAACCAGCATCCCAGCGTCAAAACATACCTAACCAGCATATGCTGTTTTTTTCAACAGGGGTATTAGTTTGGCTAGTAAACAACCCCATATAAAAACACCTAGAATGCCCTGGCAACCATCCAGAGCACCTTAGCAACCACTCTGAATTTGTTAGCATTGTGGTGATAAGTTTTGGAGGGGTTAGCATCGATAACATTTCAGATTTAAAAGTATACTGTGCACAAAAATATTAAAATGCAGTGATATTAATCAACTTTATCTGATACTATACAAAATTGTTTATAATAAAGTCGACACACAGGAGTTGTTTAACCGTTAACTTTTAATTGTGCTAATTGTTCAGTATTATAGCAGTGCTTGAATACTCTATTTGTGTTTTGCTAAGCTTCACTATTATTATTGTTAATACTTAGAGTCTCTTCTGAGTTCAGCTATTAAACAGTCACCTAGCAAACACCCAGAATGAGCTGACAATGCCCTGGCAAGCACATAGCAACACCCTAGAAATAAGTCAGAACACATTTGCATTGTGGCGGTATGTTTTGTGTTGGGTTAGCATCACACATTTTTTTCTAAAGAAGAGATTCGTTTTTTAGTACACTAGAAAATATTAAAATACACTATTATCTTCATCTAATCAACCTTATTTGATAATAATAACAACACAGGATTATAGTGTTGTTTGAATACTCTGTGTTTTGTTCAAATGTACATTGTTTCATGTGTGTTTCAGCTAGGACAGCTAAGGGGGTTTATTTCAGCTCTCTCAGACTTTGACCTTTGACCTGCAGGAAGAACATGTGGTCATGGCATTAGTGCATGGGTAGATTCGTTAGACTCCCAAAATCACGATTTAATTAGCGCCATTGCTGACACATATAATGATCTTTTAGCTGGGATGTGCGGAGACGGGTCAGACCACGCTGCTTCACCTCACAGAGCGACAAGAGATGTTACAGTTGTGTAATGGATGCTACAGTTGAGGGGTTTCATACGGTAACCATTGGATACAGGAGCAAGGTTGATTTCAAATTATTAGCAAGTACATTGGGTCAATATTTGTTCTCATTTCACAGAACAAACTTGAATGAACATGTGTGTCAATATACAATGACCTTCCCTCAACACACACACACACACACACACACACACAGAGGAACCAGAAGCTACAGTCATCAGGCCTCAGGGGTTTGTGTGGGGTTGTGGGTAAGCAGATTCTCAGAGCGGATCTTGTTATATTGGCTGTGTATCTGCACAGAGAATAACTGACTTCTTTAAACTGAAGACAACAGAAAAACAGTTATCTGTCTGTCATTATATATCTATCTATCTATCTACAGTACCCCAATCCCCCCCAAATATAATGATATTAAGATGGTGAATGTCCAACATGTCCAAACAAACATGGAGGTACCATGGTACTTTTTGGTACTTTTCTCTCTCTCTCTTTCTCTCACTCACCCTCTTTCACTTTTTCTTTCTCTCTCAGCCTGACACACATTCACATCATCTACTGTAAGAGCTGATGACATGCTGATGGAATGAATGTGTTACAAATATGTAGCAGATAATATATGCTGACTCCATGTCTTTTCCTGCTCCAGTGCCTCCACACCTGGGTAACTGCTCTTCAGCCAACATGATATGATTATTAGACCTACACCTTCTCCTGTGATCAATTTATATTCGATTGCTTCACATAAAAAAAAAAACAAATTATTGAGAGAGAAAGTACATGGAGTATTTGAAAATAAATTTGTAACAGCACAGAAATTCTGGACAAGATATGTTGTAAACTAACCATACTGTATTATAGATTTCACTCATTTGAAATGTTTCTGGTATAAAATACTATATAAAGTAGCCCCAAAAAACGAATTTCACAATATATTTAAAATGTATTACAGTTTATTGTTTATTTCTTTTGGTCACTGGAACTTTGAGTTTCATAGAGCTAGAAGCAAAGACATATTTATTAAGGCCTGTAGGGTATGCTCTTTCTCTCTCCCTACTGAAAGAAAGGGGAGGATCTCTGGGTGTCTTCAAAGACAGCCATTGGTTTACCGGGCTCATATAAAACACAGCACATACCCCAAAAGTGAGAGGACTGGAATTCAAGCAGTTGATGTATATCTCTGCAGGAGAGGGAGAGGGAGAGTTCAGGACACGAGCAGAGGGAATCCGCGCAGAGGGAAGGGGTTATAGAAAAGCTGTGCGTTTGTGCGCGTCTTCTCCGTTGTGCGCCTCCTCGGACTTGCGCGTAAAGACAATCAATGAAGGAGAGAAGATCTATAGAGAAACTGTCCCTTCAGCCCGGAATGGATCCGAGTCAGAGCCTCAAATGTAAGATCGTGGTCGTGGGGGACAGTCAGTGTGGGAAAACCGCTCTGCTCCACGTTTTTGCAAAGGACTGTTTCCCAGAGGTGAGATGCGTAAAATCCAGTGGGTGCGCAACTGCGCTTTACGATATAGGCTGTAGTTCTGTAGCATGTGCATTCATTTTCACATTTTAAACTCTTAAAATAGACATGTTTAGTAATATTTGCAATTTTCTTTCATGTGCCTTTTCCCTAGAATTACGTACCCACTGTGTTTGAGAATTACACAGCAAGTTTTGAGATTGACAAGCAGAGAATAGAGCTCAGCCTGTGGGACACCTCAGGTGAGTCTCAAATTATGTTTTTTACTATATACATCTGGATCATTTAGATTGAATTGCATTTTATAGTGCAAATATATTATGTGTACAGTATATATAAACTATAGTATGGAGTCTTTAACCATTCATAGGACCCGTTGGTGGATAGAGAGCCAGAGCTTGGACTCCTTGTTACATATTTTATAAAACTGTGTGTTGCATGTTAAACCTCCTCTATAATGCTATGCATATATTACATTATCAATATATTAATGCTGAACTTTAGCTTTTTTAGATTTGGTTGGAGCTGTACATGTTAATATATAATTATATAATGTGTTTTAGATCCACATATAATTCAGTAGCATCACAGACCCCCTTTGAAAACCCCTGCTATAGTGTATATAAATAGTTTAATTGATATGCAGAGTAAATAAACTGTATATGCTATATGCACTATAATGCTGTAATGAACGTTGTGGCTGTTAATATACAGTGCAGTCAGTAAAAAGAGGCCTTGTTACAATTAAAAAAGTTAGGGTTTGACCTATGCAGTGATTGTTTTGCTTTATAATTTCCTAATTTTGTATATTTTATGTCCGTTTAGTTCATTTACATGCTGTTGGTTCAAGACATGTCCAGACTTGTTGTCTTTCTTCATAAATCCAGTGAACACATCATTATTTTGATGCATCATTGTGTTGTGCAGGGTAATGATGTAATTGCTAGGGCTTACGTTTATGCCTGGAGGAAAATCTGGGTTTGTTTAATAGCTTTTCTTTATTTTTCTGAGCGGTTGAGCGATTCTCGGTTGAGTCAGTACGAGAGCCTGCCAAGCGTTTAATCACACACACACACACACACACACACACCCTGCTAATACATTCTCACACACTCCACCCATCTGTGGAATATGATCCACAGACACCTCACTTTTAAGGAATGTTAGGATGGCATCACGGGGAATGTTGCTGTAAGTGAGGTTTTGGATAAACACATGAAACGGAAACTGTTGCCACAGCTGGGGTCTTGCTGCAATTCACACATTTAACAAAACCAAACAACTGTGACCACACAGGCAAATGAGAGTGGGGTCTTGGCTCACTCTGTCTGATTGTAGGGTATTGGTATGTTTCCAGAGTTCGCGCTCGGATCACCCAGGAGAGTTCAGACCTGCTGTCTGGAGGTAATCACAGGCCCTATAAAGCAGCCAGCCAGACAGACTGCTTTAGACTGTGACCTGTTTGGAGCTCAGCTATGATCTGGGGTAAACTGCATTCAGACCTGAACCTGGGTTTTAGGTTATTTGGTGCTGTGTGTGGTCTGAATTCTAATGTGCTTATGTGCTAAATATCTCCTTCCAGTATATGTTAAGCCATCATGCTAGGGTATTATGTTTGATCAATTTTACCAGCTACATTTTGCAAATTGTCTGGCCAGCTACACCAAATCAGCGAAACTGGTCTTTTCAGCAGGGTCTGCAAATCTCAAGTAATTTTTTTAATGTAGTGTCATATTCTCAATCTGGATCCAGTTCTTCTAGAGTAATTTCCTAAATCAAGAACCATGTGCTAGTTTGACCTGCTGAAATGCTAGCACTGCTGGTCACTAGCCTTTGCTGTGTTTTGAATGCTGGTATGTTGTAGGCCTAGGCTTCTTAACTAGCTTAACCAGCAAAACTTGATACTTGTGAACAGCATGGCAATACTGGCAATGCCAAAAAAGGATATTTGCTAGTTTTTTTGCATGGTAGAATCAGTCCAAGATCTAGTGAACTGAGCTAATTAAGAGTCAAATCTCACATTTTTCTGAATATGAATGGTATTAAATGTGAATCTACATCATAAATCCAAATGTAAAATTTTGAGCTATTCCCCAAAACTAGAGGGATGTGCTGCAATCCTGAGTGAAAATTACAACATTTGGAGTCGTGTGCTCAATCTGGATTAATTTCCTGAATCAGAGTCTGTCCTAAATTGGAAGCGATTGCCTACATTTTGAGCCAAGTGCTAAATCTAGAGTTATAGTCTAAATCCAGAATCATTTCCTAAATCCCTAAAGCTCAAACTAGAACTATATATGATGATAATTCAATGCATGTTGGTTCAGTTTGTTTCGTGATGTAAGTACAGGAGTGTGTTCTGCTGACAGATGTCTGCGGTGGGCGTCTGCGGGCAGGGCCGCCTGTCTTATACTGGCTTTTGGATATGTAGTTAGTTGCTTGTGTCAGGCTGTGGGCTTCCAGCATTCTGTTCATTACAGTGTAAGTTATTGTGTCAGAGCCAGGCTCCAAGGTCTCCCCAGTGTGTGTGTGGTCTTTCCTTTCAAAAGCCTAAGTCCTGGATTTAACAAGTTCTGAACACACCTGAGCACATTCCAGATAATGAGAGAAATAGACATGTGGACTAGGAAACCTTGGATGTTTGCCCTTGAATAATCATAAATTCATTGTCTTGAGAGTTTCTGAACAGTCTGTGAATCCGGGGGTTGCTCCCAGAATTGCCTGAATGGATAGTTTCTTGGCACTTCTTCTTTGTGCTGCTTTGTTTGCAACAGCTGCCACCCCCGTCAACCAGACTGGCTGCTCCTGTCATTGTCCACCAATCAGCTGTTGAGTCACGACCCCATTCACCATTCAGCTGGCAGCATCCGTCACTGATCCGCCATGGAACCCATTGATACAGTAGAGTACATGCGTACCATTCGGAATTGAAACAGTTCGCTTCCGAAAGAGTACGACCAAGACTTTTTGTGTTGAATAGAAAAGAGGGGAATGCAATTGTGTTTCTTTTTGTTTGTTTTACTTTTGACTGAGCTCAAGTCTTGCGTAACATCTTTTTTAGGACTGTTGCCCATTGTTGTGTTTGTTCAAATGATTCCCACTCATGGCAATGAAAAACCGAGCATTCTTTGGTCATTATTCCAATGTCAAAGTGCTGCTGCCATTCTGCTGCATGAATGTTTCATTAGGCTTTTCTCATGTATATTGATTGTAGGTCTTAGTAAGTCCTTCTAAATCTGAAACTCAAGTGTGTATGTGCATGTATTGTGTGTTATGTGATACACAAGAGGCCAAGTGTCAGGATAACACCCTACCGGAGACAAGAGACCGCATGCTCTCTGATCTTCTTGATGGCCATGAGCATGTGTGTGTATATCCCCTAATAGCCGATCCTCAATGGAATCGGACCCCTTCCCCCAGCTTCGCTCTTCCAGACACATATTGACCAGAAACCCCCTGCAGATGTGAAGCCAGGATCTTGACATGTCTGTCTCAAAGGGTTCCTTATCCACCAGTCAGACCATGATCAATCAATATACGCACACTCTGCTTTGGGATCTTTTTATTCCTTTGTGAGTTGTACATTTTACAATAAGCATATCGTCTCGGATAACTAGTGCCAAATTCAGTCCATTGTTCCTCAATCATCCTATCTCCTTGCTCCCCTAGGGCCGGTGACGGATATGCTGTCATGACTAGGCATGGGCCGATTACCGGTTTCAAGCTATACCGCGATTTGAAAATTTCACAGTTTCAAAACCACTAATATTTTCTGTTATACCGTTCCTGTGGTATGCGCTGTTTTTTATGTCTCCTCAAAGACTGAAAGTGTAGGAATCCATCAGGTTGAGTGCAGTGTAGAGAGTAACACGACCCTTCTCCTTCTGTTGGTGCGAGCGTGGTCAGTCACGTGTGTGTAGGATGGCCGAACTTAAGGAGCTTCCCCTGGAACTTACGCGATCGGCAACTGGCCGATTTTTGTCTTATTGCAGCTCGTCTCTGTTCTGGACTTGCACAAACTGCATTGCAATGCAATCATTTTCCAAAATGTCATTTATGTGAAAATATGAAGTCTGTAAACGCCCATTAACACAGGCCAAAGACGCTGAAGACGGATGCAAAGAGAAAAATACTGTAGCAGGCAGATCACTCACTGTTCATGATGCACAAACTATTGGAAGAATATCCTCAATGTTGATTTGAGGGTTTATATGAATGTGTTTCTGAGGGGAACTGACAGAAACAGAAAACTAAACAGAAAAGTTTACGTGGTATTTTCTTTTAATCTCGTCTCTGTATAGGGTATATGAAATTCTATAACTAAATGATATGAAATGATATGTATATGAATGATATAACTAAAATTAAATAACTGTAATTTCAGATTTAGGTTAAATAAAGATGTCAGTCTTTATTTTTCTTCTTTTTAAGAAACAAATCAAAGAAAAAATAAACAAATTCTACTGTTCCTAATATTCTGTATGTTGCTCTAAAACGAAATATATTGTGTTCAGCGGAAATTAATTTTGTATTTTTTTTACCCAGTCATTTAAAAATAACACATTTTAGAGCTGTAACGACAATACCGTAATATTTTTGCTTAAGGTTATCATACCGTCAAAATCTCATACCGGCCCATGCCTAATTGTGATATTTCTTAACTTCCTCAAAGTTCTTCTCCATTCCTTTATATCATCAGACATTGTGAGTCTGTGACTCACTCTATGTCCTTCACAGCACAAACAAAGTTTCAGTGTGTTATATCCATAAGAGGGAAAGAAGGCTGTTAATGGAATAGGGATTGGTGGGGGATGGCCGAGATTGTGATAGATGATTGTCTCCCCTACGCAATCCAGTAACTGAAATTGGATAAAATTAAAATCACATTTTGGTAAGAGCAATTTGGTAAGAGTGCACCATAACTCCATTCTACTAGATTAATAACATGTAGTGAACTGAAACAGGACAAACATCATGAGTGATGTCTTTGCTGTTGTGCAACATTACTTGCATCTCTCAAAAAGTCCCCATGAAATCAAAATTAAAGTTTTGTGGGTGTTAGTATCAATATGTTAGTCTTAAGGTTATCTATGAGGCAGTGTGCTCCAAAACAGTGACAAAATTTGCATTTAGAAGACATAAGCTTGCAGTTCGTCACTTCCGCCAAAACGGCTCAAAGATTTTTTTTTTGACGTCACATCGTACTTCCGCTTCTCATTAAATAACCACAATACTGTGAAACCGTGATATTTTTGCTTAAAGGGTTAGTTCATGCAAAAATGAAAATTCTGTCATTAATTACTCACCCTCATGTTGCTCGAAACCCGTAAGACTTTCGTTCATCTTCGGAACACAATTTAAGATATTTTTGATGAAATCTGAGGGCTCTCTGACCCTCCCATAGACAGCAAGGTAACTACCACATTCAAGGTCCAGAAAAGTACCAAGATGATCGACAGAGTAGTCCGTGTGACATCAGTGGTTCAACTGTAAAGTTACGAAGCTATGAGAATACATTTTTGTGCAAAGAAAACAAAAATAACGACTTTATTCCACGTTTTCGTCTCTACTTGTGTACGTGCGTTCACGATCTGGGTCAGCGCCGGTGCCGCCACACGCTCGCGAGTACCACTCTTCTTTGCAATATGTCAAATCTAGTTTTATTTTGATTAAAGATGAAAACAAATATGCATAGTTACACGAGGTACATTTATTAAGAGGATGAATAATATTTTTTTATTTCACATTGCCTTGAAAGCTAAAATAAAGAGAAATCTTCAGCATTTGAGGTAAAATTATAAATTAATCTATGTAAAGTGTTTGCTAATACATGACTTCTTAATCTTGTTTGTACATTCAAAAACATAATCCTTTTCACTGTTAATTTGTAAATAAGTTAGTATCATTCAGCTATTGCATGTCCCTTCAAAGTCCTGATCTACGACGTTGCTATATAACCTCCTTAATCCAACCCTTGACTATTATCAGCAAGGGGAGACCTCATTATCAGCTGACCCCCGAAAACAAAACATTCCCGGGATCATTTCAATGGGCTCCTGCTGGGACAGGCTCTCTCAAACCCACTCCTCAAAGCTGGTCAACTATTGTCGGCTGGATCATATTTCTAACCTTGACGATTTGGGCCTGCATGCCTCACATTCCTTTCAGGAAAGGTTTGCTCTCGTACTCCACAAAGCAGCTATTGTGCGGTAGGCTGCCAGGGAAAAAAAGCGCCATGTGAACCGTTATGTTCTCTGAAATTATTCTTACCTTGTTAGTCATGGAGGAAATTTAATTCAGGAGGAACTCAAGTACTGATGTAGAGTTCGAAAAGACTTTCTTAAAGTTTGTAATGGTGTGCTAGCAATATTTCAAAGCATGAATTAGTATCAAGGGATTTTAGCTTAGGGGTTAAATGTACTTTGCTGAGAATTTTGTCTGTTTATTGCTTTATTTTGATGTAGATTAGGAAGACACTGAGGGATCCAAGCCAAAAACACCAATGGCAAAGAATTCTTTACTGTGTGTGTGCTTTTACATGGTCACCACATCTTTAGAGAAGCATTTAAACACTCGGGGAATCCATCAGCTGTCGTATCCTTCACACATTATGTTGTGATAGCTATGGTGTTCCACAAGTGTGTGTGTGTGTGTGTGTGTGTGTGTGTGTGTGTGTCATTCTAGTTGGCTATTATTTACACAAATACTGTACAACCACACACACACACACACAGCAGGATTTGCGTTTAGTATGCATGCATTGGACAGAGAAACAAAATAATGTGTTTAATGAAAGCTTTAGAGAGAAAACTGTGTGTGGTTAGTGTGTGGGCATCTGTTGTGTGTCTCTCAGAAGAGGCTGAATACCACACTAACAACAACAAAATGTTACTTTTTGTATATTTTTTCCACATAACCTGTCATAACAAAAGTATATTTACACTAACATAAATCACCTTTCAATATATACACTAAAATAACAAACCTTATTCAAACGCTGTGAACTCAAAATAAGTTTGATAATTAGATCTACATACAGATGTAGTTACTTATTGACATTACAAATTAGAGATTAAATGATTAACTGTAAAAAACAAAACAAAAAAAAACACCTATCAAACCTCTCGTGAAACGTTATTGTCCGAGTTGTTCTTGTTTTTTGGCCTGTAGCTGTGGTTGGAATGTGAGCTGTAAAGTCCTGTGGCTGCATGTGTTTTCAACTTCACATTTTTCTACTTAACTTCTGGCACTGGAAATTATCATTCTGTCAAACTAAACAGCCCTCCCTTCACTCTGTCTCTCTCTGTCTCTCATAAACACCACCTCGGTCCTGGAATCTGGCACATTATAAATGTGTTTGTCCTGTGTGGATTGTACATAGCGTGTCTGGCAGAGTTAGCGGGAATGTTTCGTTCTGTCAGAGTAAATCCTGGACTATACCGTCCTCACAAAGAAAAACATCTCCAGAGTTTTAGCCAGGAAGGAAATGCTACATCAGGCAAGGGTCTAATTATTAGCAATGTGTTTACTAAGGCAAGCATCAGTATTTTTATTTGAGTAAGGGATTTGAAGAATTATCTTGTGCTTGTGTAAATCACTTATAAATCATTATTTAGCATTGCAACAGTGACAAAGAACTGGAAGTGTTCTGTGTATTGAGATTTTTTTTATAAGTAAAAACCTATTTAAAGGCTTTATTACTTCTGAAAGCAAAAGTGTGCATTTATGGGTAAAAGTTTCATGTTTAGTATGTCTGAAAAGGGGCTTCAGTGGTTTAAGTGGTTTCATGAATGCTTTCAAATTACTGTCTGTACTGCGTCACTGAGTGAAAGTTTAATGAGGTTAAGTAATATATTGATGGCCCTCCAGACAGTCCCACTATCCTTGTCTAGTTTTTTGTGCATGCTTGTTTTTAAGTGAACTTTGTTCTTCCTGACCAATCCACCTTTTTGTGTCACAGGCTCCCCGTATTATGACAACGTCAGACCGCTTTCATATCCAGACTCCGACGCCGTCATCATATGCTTTGACATCAGCAGACCAGAGACCCTGGACAGTGTCCTAAAGAAGGTGAACGTTTTTTCCAACCTGTAATAATTGATTTGACACACTTAATGTGAGCTTAACAAGTAGGATATTCCTAGATTAACATCCACTGTTGTTCCTGGAATTATATTCCTATCACACAATCAGATTTTAGGACTGGAGTTGGGGTCTTGAACAACATTCCTATCAACCAATCAGATTTTAGGACTGGGATTGGGGTCTTGAAGAACATTCCCATCAACCAATCAGATTTTAGGACTGGGATTGGGGTCTTGAAGAACGTTCCCATCAACCAATCAAATTTTAGGGCTCCAAAATGACCTCTTGAGAATCATGATTGGAGACACCTTCATTTTACATTGTTGATAAAGGAAATTAATAAAGAAAATTATTGTCTAAGCAGTTGACATCTGGGGGCAGAATACATTGGGTGTGGTGCACAAAAGTTTGGGAGTTTCTTGGATATAAAACTGTAGGCTTGACCTTTCTGGTTCTTGACAGTCTAATTGACTTTTAAATGCATTGCTTGTGATTCAGAGAAATTCTTCTACAACTTCATTGTGATTTGCCCACTCTTTGTAGCATTCCAATAAAGTCATCCTTTGTTCAGTAGGCTTGGATATCATCTTGTAGACTTTCAGTCTGGTGTCAGGTGTCTGGAATGGCCTGTGGCTCTGGTTCACTTGGTCAGGGTGGACCCCTGTTTTGATAGTATCATGCTGGCATTAGCTAGACCATGTGAGTGGAAGTTCAGCTGGGAGGTTTGTCTTAAAACGGTTGAGATCTAGGTCGCAGAATCAGAAATACAGTCAGGCTACATGTGGGTACCTGGTGGAATAAGCTAGTGTTGTCTTCCGGAACTTTGAGGCCTCTAGGAGCCAGAGGTGAGCACAGAAGGATCATGGGAATGTAGGGTGTTTGTGTTCCTGTGAACAATCATATGACTGTGTTGTACCCGCCTGTCTCCCGCCAGATTAACTCTGATGATTCTATGCCACACCAACACAGAAAATGCTTTGTTTGGGAAGGAGAGGAATGCAGATCACCTGTAGCATTGTTGGGAAGACGCACACACAGATACACACCCTGAAAAGCAGTCATTACAGTGCAGGCTTTATCCTCGCAGGAAGCATGTCTCTCACCTGTAGCAAGGAAGATTAATACTCTTGTGAAAAAAGGGATGGGATGGAATGTGATATGCTTAGAAAATGGGAACAGGAAACACTTGTTCTAGTCTTTTGTCGTCTCTCAGACAGGGATGGATCAAGGCCAAATGGTTTTATCTTTCCCTGTTGGTTTTGTCTCTTTCTCTCACAGTGGAAAGGGGAGATCCAGGAATTCTGTCCCAACACAAAGATGCTGCTCGTCGGATGCAAGTCAGACCTTAGAACAGACCTCACAACTTTGGTGGAGCTGTCTAATCACAGACAGACACCGGTGTCATATGATCAGGTGAGCGGTTCTCATAAACTCCTTTTGCAATTTGGTTGGATGCCACTGAGACACTCAACTTCAGATTTGGCTTGATATCTAACACCAATCTTATTACTTTACCAGTAATTACGTTTATCAGCAAGGGCAGTTCGGCAACATGGCAATGGTTTAGGTTACTAATCTAATCCATGCATTAAATGTCTGAGTGATAAAGAGTAAAATCTTCCTGAGCACAAAGCTAAACTTCATTTTGATGAAATTGCAAGCGGTAATCATAACAATTAGACTGCTAACTGTGATTTTACTGCTAATTGCTGGTTTTGTTTCATATCAAAGCTCATAATCCTCTCTTTCTCTTTTAGGGTTCAGCTATGGCTAAGCAGATATCTGCACCTTATATCGAATGCTCCGCAGTGCAGTCAGAAAACAGCGTGCGGGACATTTTCCATGTCGCAACATTGGCTTGCGTAAATAAGAACAGCAAAAACATCAAGCGCAACAAATCGGCACGCTCCACCAAACGCATCTCACATATGCCCAGTCGACCAGACCTAGCTGCCGTGGCAACAGACCTACGCAAAGACAAAGCAAAGAGTTGCACGGTAATGTAATGCAAGGAGTTCAGGAGGAAAGATTCATTCTGGGAAGCGGTGAGGGTGGACTGTGGAAGCAAGAAAGGTCTGGAATTGCCTCCAAAGACAAAGCAAAAGTGGAGAGTGGGAGTGTTTGCTCAATGTTCCTGAAGGTCTCTCCGGTTTGAGGGATGCACTTCTTGTTGCCAGAACTCAACAAACATATGGACGTAAACCCATATTAAGGCCCCAACCACCTCTCCTAAACTTATCCACTCAGCAGGAGGATGTCACCCCACTCTCGGCCAATGGGAGGCCTTCCTTCCTGCTCCTGGACATGAAGCTGCTTCCTCTCTGGAGGATTCCTTCTGGAAGCTTCTCCTGCAGGAAAGGAAGGAGGAAGTAGAATCACATAACCATTGAGTCCAAACTTCCGCTGAGCTTTGCCTCACAGCTATTTTTAAAAGATGCACGTTATGGTTGGTATTAACAGTCATATGACGGAACTATGACGAGGAAGATGACTTCCAAAATGGCGAAATTTTGGATAAGGACAACTCTCGTTTCTTTCTTGAGAGTGTATCACTGTGGTTACGGATCACTTCCTCCTTCGATCCTCCTTGGCCTGTTTTGTTCTTTCTGTAGACCAAGAGCACGAGTTTGTGTGTGTGCGTGGTTTTCTTTTTCTTATGCTAAGCTCAGCTAAAACTGTCACCATGGATACACCGCTGGTATATTTGAAATCACACCATTTTCTGTATAACTCCTCAATCACTTTATGGTTCATTAAGATTCAGAAAAAGAAAAACCAAAGAACTGGAAGGTTTTCAAGTCGAATGACTCAATGTTTGACATTCTGAAGTGCGTGATGGATGTGTATTTGAGGGTTTTGGTGGGTCAATGAGAATTTCTTTCACGGTTCTATAAGAACATGTTTCTTCTTGTCTTTATAGACTGGGTATATGGAAGTGCAAATACGGCCTTTGAGAATTAACCTGACCATTTAGTATTCATTTGCATTTGGTTTATCCCTGAAGGGGCATTCACACTGACAAAGCATCTGGAAGTCATTAATTTGCAATGAGGGCTGGTGATTTTAGGCCAGACTGTTTAGAGTTCAACTTTATTCAAATCTGGAAAAATACTTAGGGTGGGACCAGAGCTAATCCTCCCTATACGCAAAATACGCAAACTGCGTAGGGCCCCCGAAACACCTGGGAATTTTTTTTATTTGGCCAGCGGTTATGAATACATGAATGATAATTTCTTTAAATGCGGGGTGCTGTCACCCTTTCTACGTAAAAATCAGTCAAATCATGTAACGTGAATGTCATACAGTCTTGTTCAAAACTAAAAAAAAATGAGTTGAAAGCGTACCGAGCCGCGCAACTGTTTCTCAAGTGCTTGCTGCGAGCGCGATTCGAGACGGGAGTGAAACACGGACAAATGCATTTCATTAATTCGTTCATAACCACTCATACCCCACTCCACCGTTAAAAAACAGTGCAAGATGCTACGTAATGGCCAAAGATGTCTTGGTGTAGCAGTATCTGGCTAACAGCTAAAGCACAGTACACTGTTAGCATGTTAATTTAAGCACTACTTCTAAAAATATCATGAATGTAATATATTTCAGACAAAATCTAGCTAAACTAATTAAACTTACTAAACAACCAGTCAGTTTTCAGACAACTGATCATTGTGACCAATCCCTAATATGAGCAAACTATTAGAAACCAAGAGTATAGCAGGTTGGTGACACCCAGTGATTTAATTTCTGTCAGTGTGAATGCCGCATTAGAATAACACCACTACTGGAGTAACAAATCATGATTGTTTAACGCTATTAAAATAGCACAAAACTAGCCTTTCATTGTAAATCATTATTATCATTAAAATGTTTCATCAACATTTGTGCCTTTTCTGACATCTGTGAAATTTTGTTTAAGCACAATTGTTGAAATAATGAATAAACAATCAAACATCAAATTCAAGGTCATGTTAAATCTGCACTTCTGTCTGCCCAGTCCAGGAAAGAAAAAACAAGAAACGAATTTGCTCTTCTCTCTATTAAACTATGCAGTCTGCTTCTGACACATGTGAGAGGATTGAGAAAAATTATTAATACACATACTTTCTCATTCAAAACAAAAATTTGTTGCGACTCAATATATTGCCTTGCAGAGCCATGGGAAAAATGAGTCTCACCTTTGTAGTGCTAAATTTTCTCAAAACAAAATCTTCAGAAGCTTGATGCTAGCTGCAAAGTCTCTTTTGCTGCATGTCTGTAGTTGCACTTTTCGTTAAAACTTGCGCAAAACAAACAAAAACGGTCTTTTTACATTTGTTTTTAATGGGTCAGAGAGAATTTCCTTGACTGTGTTACACAATTTGTTTTGACATAGGCAGTATTAAACAATTTTGGTGTGTGTAAATGTTGAGAAATGTGTCGGTGCTGTTAAAAAACAAAATGTTTCCTAATGTAGGATGTCTGTAACTTTTTTTAATGCCTTCTGTGTGTTGAGTTCCATGTATGTCTGTTTTTGTTGATGTTGGCATAATATTTATTGAATTATCTATTTTTTTCTCTTAAAAATAAATGAAAAAATAAAATGAAAACGGATCTTTTTGATATGAAATCTTTTCCTCTTTTCCTTTTTTATACACACACACACACACACACATATTTATTTAAATTTTACTTTTTTAAAATGTAATTTTTTAGAAATATGATTTTCATAAAGCCGGTAGATATTTTTTCATGCAGTTGAGATTTATTGTCTCATTCCTAATGACTCATTCCTTATTACATTCCGAGTATGTGTGACTTTGCCTTGGGCTTCGGATCTCTTCCTGTGTGTTCCTCAAATTCATTCACGCGGTTTCGGGTCACTTCCCCTCGCGGAAGGAAATGACCTTCAGATGACCTTCACCCAGCCCTTTCCGGAGCCTCCATTCATAAACCTCACAGGCCTACAGCTCAGAGCTATCTGGCTTCATTTTACTCATTTTGAGCCAAAATATGGGCATTATTTCGCTTATTTCATTTTTATATTGCATACATTAACTCACACTGATGCAAAGTGGAGTGCTTATATACATTTATGCAATTCAAAACAATGAATGAAGCTTCCCTGAGACAAATATGGCATCAAAAAGTCTTCATGTGAACACTATTCTACTGAATATGAAAGCTGTGGTTCAGGTACAGACATGCCACATTGACAAGCTTCAGTCAAGGCTGGAATTTTCACTCTTTTCTCCTTACCATCATCTTGTCTTTGTGTGAATGCACACTAAACACACAGACTCTTTTACTGTCAAGAGCATCAGGCGGCATTTTCGCTTCTGACAGACTGCTATGGCAGAGATAAATCCAGACAATTACAAACACACACTGTGGCCCTGATTAATTGTGTGAGTTGTGAAAGTGCTTTGTTGTTACTTTGAGACAACGCAGAGTGAAAGTGATTCATTACAGCAGCGTCTGAATGGAACACACATTAATAGTGTTTCCTTTACGCATGATAGCTCATATATCACACACAGAAACATGGAATATATTCAGACAAAACATGATGAATGATAACACAGGCCTGTCAGATGGTGCTATGAACAAAACCAAAGACAGTTGTTCAGAAAATCTCTAACAAAATAGTACTAAGGCAGTATTACGGAACAGTGACCATATAAGATGGTAATATTTTTGTACTTTTCATACCTTTACATGGTACTTTAAAATCTGCGAGATTAAATTTCTACATATTTTTTAAATTACATTATATAATATAAACTTCTACTTCTATTTAAATGAAAATTGTATCTTGTTTAAAAATCATATTAATTTACAACAGTGTCAAACTCAATTCCTAGAGGGCCGGAGCCCTGCTGACTTTAGACTTGATCCAACTAATCAAGTTCTTCAGACTTATTTGAAAACTACATGGTGTGTGCGTTGGAGCAGGGTTGGAAAAAAATGTATGCATGTCTGAAAAACCACAATATTATCATGGTTCTGTTTAGTGGTGTTCGCAAATGCAAAAAAAAAATCATGCTAAAATCACTAAGAATACCGCAAATTTCCTTAGTAATTCCAGTCAAGTTCTAGATACATTATGACTTTAAATGCTTTTAACATCAAAAAGTTGTTCTGTATCCGTTACTCAAATTTTAGAGTTGTAACTTCAGCCAACCTGCCCAAATAAGCTAGCTAAGCTACAATAGTATCGTGTGTATCTCTGGTGGCTGTTTTCTGGTTGACCGGATGCTCTAATGTGTGAACACACGGCTGCAGTCATGGGTAATGTCAGAGGTGGCGAACAACGGAGATTCGATAACAAGAACCGTCAGTGTGTTGTGTCTGGTCTGGGGTTTTGTTTTCTAACACCTCTGAATATTCGACGAAAATATTGAAACGAACGGCTGCTGGGATTTAATAGTGTGTGTGCTCAGGTACCCATAAATGTCACCGCCGTCGTTCTCCCATTTTGCATTAATCGACCAAGGTTACTGTACATGACAAATGAAATGTCAACCAATATGTAGCGCTCGAAACATCTCCGGACGAATTGCGTTTCACTCTTGGGTGAATCCAGAAACTCAAAACCATTTAGCACTTTGGGATTCCAGCAAAAAAAAAAAATCAATACGTTCAGGCCTGAACCTCTTTGTACGTGTTTTATTGCTTTTGTGGGGTTAAAGGTCACGCGTGACATGTGTGTGTCTCAGATAGGATACAGTGTCACATTGGGTTCATATTGAAATATAGTTGTTTGTACAGCTATTCTGAGCCACGTATGCGGTAACTTCTATAGAGAAGGCTGTGTGAATTCACACGCATCGCTTTAACACCTGTCAGGGAGGAAATTAAATCCTGTCCCACTGCTGGAAACACAAACACCCAAACGCACATACAGCGCTGATAAGACAGGCACTAATTGAAATTCCATTCTTAATGGCCCCTAAGTGAAGATCAGCAACGGGTCGCATGGGTGATTGACTTTTATTGTGCTTTTTGTTTCTGTCTTGACCTGCCTAACCATGATGCCTTGAGGGAAAGAGGCTAGCAAGACTTCCATGAAATAGCTCAATTCATCAGCTCCAGAAGCTGCTGTGACATGAGTTTTGACGCAAGATGTTTCGTTTGGTTATTTCTATCATGTTTTGTTGTGGATTTACTTGGAGACAAAATGAGAACAGTTGCATTCAAAGTGAATGCGCAAAACTAAATCAGGTATTAAAATATTTAAAAATCTGAGAGAGCAGGGAGAGCATATTATATGTCGATATATATAACCAATTTCTAAACATTAATTTATTGTTTCAAACTGAAACCACAATAACTGCTGAACTCTAAAACGGATGACTGATTTTCATTGCAGAGACTCAAATCTTTTGAAACTGTTCACTAAAAAGATTTGTTCACTGGTAAAGGTACACTCTAAAAAATGCTGGGTTAAATACAACCCAGTGCTGGGTAAAATAGGGACAAACCCAGCAATTGGGTTGTTTTGACCCAGCATTTTTTAGACAAAAAAAAAAAAACAGCTAACAAAAAAAACTGCCCAATTGCTGGGTTTGTCCCTGTTTTACCCAGCACTAGGTTGTATTTAACCCAGCATTTTTTAGAGTGTAATATCAATAATTCAATTATCTTGCAATTCCCACTTTTCACAATTCTGAATATTCCAGTTTTTTCAGAATTGCATGATTAAACTCAGAAGAATTATAATATAAACTCACAATTCTGAGAAAAAAAATAGAATTGCGAGATAATATATTTATTATTTATTAGCCTATCAATTGTGAAATATTAACTCAATTCTGAGAAGAAAAATCTTTTTGTGAGTTATAAACTCGCAATTCTGGGAAGAAAAGTTTTGATTGTGAGACATAAACTTGAAATTGCGAGGTCAAGAAAGACAAGAATTGTTAGATAAAAAGTCACAATTACCTTTTCAATATTTGTTATTTTATTTGCGGAAACAAACGTCAAATAATTCAATTATCTTGCAATTCCCACTTTTCACAATTCTGAATATTCCAGTTTTTTCAGAATTGCATGATTAAACTCAGAAGAATTATAATATAAACTCACAATTCTGAGAAAAAAATAGAATTGCGAGATAATATATTTATTATTTATTAGCCTATCAATTGTGAAATATTAACTAAATTCTGAGAAGAAAAATCTTTTTGTGAGTTATAAACTCGCAATTCTGGGAAGAAAAGTTTTGATTGTGAGACATAAACTTGAAATTGCGAGGTCAAGAAAGACAAGAATTGTTAGATAAAAAGTCACAATTACCTTTTCAATATTTGTTATTTTATTTGCGGAAACAAACGTCAGA